TGGTTTCGAGCCTCGGTGGAAACACCATCAGTCACTGGGGAATACAGGGTATCCAACTAATAAATCCCAAATAGGACGAAAACGGGTGTCCTGGATTCCACTGCTAATCATCATCCAACAAGTGCCTTCAGTTAATGAGTTGTTTAAGAATACTAATAAAATCAAATTAGAAATCTATAGTCTACACAGTTCAAAGGGAAACTTTGAGAACCAAAATTATTCAGATCACAATATGTGAACTGCTTTACATCATAAATGAAGATTAGGAAAGTAGGCTTAATGTGTGACCAAATAGATTACTGAAAAATTCAGTGGAGTGAGTAAGTGGATACCACAAACACCAATCCGTAGTACTTGTTAGCCTGATCGAATCGATTTAAATAAATCGATGGGACGTCCATCTGACATTTAGATAACTTCAGACAAGCAGATCTCATATTGCGATCTGAATGTTTTTATTTCCAAAAGGAACTGTTATGAAATTTCACCTCGAGCTGTGTCGATTGACAGTTACGAGTGTATTATGATTCCCTTGGGTTCTGTGTGGAACTTAGGGCTTCAACGACACACCTCCATTTTGTTGTGCCTCCTACAGTCCTCTTCAGCTGACAACATGATTGGCCATAAGTTCTCATCTGCTCCTCACATGGTCTCCTCCATGTCCCTCCCAGGTCAATGGCCAACTGGTCGTTTCCCCTTTTGGGCTCCACTCGTGGGCATGACACACGATGCTAGTTGACGATCTCTTGAGCGTGCGCCTTATCTGTCCCCATTTTCTTCGGAATACTTGTTGAGCAGTAGGCTCTTGGTTGATGTATTCTCAGAGTTTCTGGTTGCCACTTCTTTCCAACTATTTGATCGCCGATATGGAACCGACTAAGGTAGCTGTTGATAAAAGTTTGCAACCTTTTGGAAGTGCTTTCGGTCGCCCAACATGTCATTTCTGACCCTCATAGAAAGAGTGACTTACCATTGGTGTTGAAAATCCCAACCTTGTTCTTTGTGCTGAGTGCAAACGATTTCCAAACTGACTTCAGATAAATGATAGTCTGGATGACTTCTCCGATTCTGGTTTTCACATCCTCGTCTATGCCGCCTGTAGCTGAAACGATTCTTCCTAGATATGTGAAGGAAGTTACCCCTTTCGAATTCCTCCCGCTGATTGTAATTGATATCTGTTGTTGCCTGGCTATCTCCATGAGCTCTGTCTACTCTATGTTAATTTGCGATCCTATCTTCTCTAATTCTTCCTCCAACTCGTTAATTTTCGCCTGTAAGTTTTCGATTTTGGGTGATATTAGACGTAAATCTTCCATAAAGTTGAGATCTTCTACAGTGTTTTTGTTCGTCCGACGTATTCCTGTCTTCTTGCTTCACACAGTCTGACACAATTTAATCCACCACGATTAGAAATAACATCGTTGAGAATTGAGAATTCCATTTAAGATATTATCAATTCACCCAGACGGCTGGCCAAGAATTTTGGTGGTATCAGCTGATTTGGCCATCTAAGCTGAGTTAGTCCAGGCACACCTCTGATCAGCTAGGCTCCAAACGGGCAAAGTTGTCGTCTGGCGTTTACATTACTGGCTGGTAATCACTACTAGTTGATGTAAATAATATCCAGCTGTTCGTATCAATCAGTTAGTTGTAAGTAGCGTCAAACAAGTAGAATTATTATTAATTAACATTCTTCTAACATCAGGTTTCTTTACTCAAGTTTTACACGCGACCATAACTTAGACTCTAATAATTTTGCGAAACAGATTCCTTACCACAATAGTAATATTTCCGTATCTGTAAGATATTCCTTTACGTGCATTATTTCAATGTCAGATTAGTCAAAGTTCCAGAGTTACGTCTATAGTTTTTGTACATGATTTGAACCTCTTTCATTGAAAAGACAAGTGATGAATAATTACAAGCTTATTATATTTTTTACTTGGTGTGATTCATTTCATCATTCTTCTCCATACCTGACTGCTTTGTAATTTACTAATGAGTATATAGTTGTCCGTTGGTGTCACAGCAGTTAGTGCTCTCGCTGACCATACACATGGTCCGGGTTTCGATCCTCTGCCAACGTACACTTGATATCTATGGTCGGCCTGAAAAATTTGGGCTACCGATATCACATGCTGAAAATTCCATACCAGTACAAAACAATACAGCGTGGAATCAAGCTGTAATTAAAAATGTAAACCAATAAATAAACATCGTTGATTGGTCGAAATAGCTGAAAATGTTTCGAAATCCAAAATAACTTTCGCTACGAATCCACTGGAAACATAGAATTCTTTAAGCTTTATTCCACAAAATGCTAAGTTGCACAATTGTACATTCAGTGTTATAGGAAAAGTTAATTTCTGTGGTCATTCGTATGCAGAATGTACTCAAGTGTGGAAATCATGCCCCAGTGAAATTATTATAAAGGAATAGGCACGTGCATGGCATTACTATATTTGTGAATTAACATAAACGAAATTTTTCCTGTACGACTAAATGAGATTTAAAGCAGAGGCTGTGATAATGGCAGTCAAGATACTCGTTTGAGCTACAGTCGAATGTTTCTTACAGATAATTCTTCTAATGAAATTTTCATTCTTCTCAACAATCATTTTTGTGACAGAAGATAGTTCATCTGGGAACTTAATAACAACGTGTGTAGTTAAGTTGTCTATGCACGTTATAATGCAATATATATATGTACAAATATAAATCACCTTGTTTTAATGCTATACAAGAATATCACTGCACCACAGTTATACTGTGTTTCAAGCAGTATCAGAGTCTAAACATACGTGAAAAATGGGCTAAATCCATTTTATCTAACTCACACCACCCTCTTCATTCACAACTCCCCCCTTGTATGTTATCAGGCAGAACCAGAAGCCTATATAGAAAGCTATATGCTAGCACTGTCAGGTACAAAAACTCAACCATACCCTACTTAGCTCGTATTCTGTGCGATAAAGAAAGCATTAGGCGTTATGTCTATAACTTATTAAATAGTCAGTAGATCTGGTCTTTCCAACTCATATCATTTATAGGTAAAACGTTTCCTTTCTTTCTTTTCTTTTTCTCTTTTTTTCTGTTATGTGCCACTTTGTTTCTCTCTTCCTTACAAACTCTACTTAAAACATTATTCTTCGTTCTCTCACATTCTGTATATCTCGACCTTTTTGTTACCGCTTACGCCAGTAAATATGCTAGTAGTATCTACTTTTCTAACACCTTCCAACACTCTGTTTAATTTTGGCTTTGCTACCGACATGCCAATATGTTGTTGTCAAAACTAACTGAGATTACCCTTAATCTATGTAGAATTTTATTTATTGAATAATCTACTAACTGGATGCAATACTGTAGTAAAGTGATGGGAATTCCATTCTGTATCACAAATACTGTTTTGGAACAAAGTAAATTATTATTTTAAAAAATACTCATGTTATGCGAATATTCTTCTACTAGAAGCATTTCATAGGTAAGATTCGCTTCATTACAGAAGGAAATAAAATATTTCAATTGTTATCTAGGAAACTTCTGAATCACTAAACTCAAGAATGTTGGCACTAATGATATAAACTCACTGAAAGGTGTTTAGCAGTTATGACGTATATGACACTCGAGTATCTTGTCAGAATGTGTAGGTATTCGAAACACCACAGAATTTTCAATGACAATGTAGAAACAAGATGACAGTATGCTTCCTCATTCAGGAAAGTCACTGGAGTTTAATGCAAATTCCGAATTTGAGTTTAAAATACTAACAGTTCAACGGAATGATCATTCACTTGCGACTCACATAAACATTATACCTTAACCAATGCAGTTTATTAAAAATATTTCAAGAAATGTAGCAGAATCTGGTTGATTAACTGTGGTTCCAGTTATTGCGTCAAAGTCAAGTATAGTGATATATCTGATGTTCCACATTCAAAGACGTCTACAAATTAGCTGCGTTTTATTGAGAATAGCCAAACACCTTATACTCCTTATCTTCCGAGTGAAACTTAGGGCTTCCGATTCATAAAGTCTCAGTACAGATGGTGTTATGGCTTAACTTCCTCTTCTTGTTGGGCTTACAAGTGACTAGTCGTGTGTCGACCAGGAGTCAAACTAGGACCACCGGCGATGGTGGTGCTGTTGAGTATTCTACGAATCAATCACCGCCGAACTCAGAAATGAATAGAGCTAAATAATTTCATCCTTGGAAAAGGGTTCGATTTCTATCACGGAGTTTTAATTTCAGTTGCACTAAACAATGCTACTACAGACATCATAATGTAGGCATTTTGTTACTTTAAAAATAATCCCTAATTGAATCCGATTTTCAATTATAAGAAGAAACAAAACTTCCATTAATCATATTACATATATTTATCGTGTTAAGAGAAACAGGACAACATTTTTCTTTTCCACTTGATATGAAGACTGACAGCTTAATTCTATTATGCATATGTTTTTTTCTCCTTTAACAGACATTTTCTATTATCATAGCGCTAAGTTAGAAAAAAAAACATCTGTCCGTGCCAGTGTAATATGATATTCAACAGTGTAGCAAAAAATCAACTGGTTATAATCTAGAATTTTTAATCAATATACGTCTTTTCTTTCTATCTTTTGTTTGTTCCATGCAAAAGGAAAGAATAGGGGATTTCTTTTTTCTCCTTTCTTGAAGTATTTCAAACAATTCAATTCTAAAGATTCTTAAACATACGCTTTGCTGTAAAAAGCGTACATCATATACAATGCAATATATATATATATATGTGTATATATATATAAATATACATAAAGAAATAATCGTTGAAGGACCAATCAAATTTCAATTTTGTCAGCTTATTGTTGATTGAATAAAAATTGAGATTATGAAATAAATAAATAAATGAAACATGTTTGTGAAAAAAGTTAATACACATGTGAAAGATAATCTCTGTGCATAACAGTAATTGTTCAACTCTGGGTTTTTTACTTCTAATTTTGAGGAGTGATTATAGTTAATTATTATTTTAATATTCATATTGTTGCTAAAAGTAAGTGAAGTTAATTAAACTTTTTATCTACACATAATAATAATAATAATTGTCTACGTTAGATAAGTAACTTTCTGGATTTTATTTGTTTAAATCAACTTTTGATTGTGTCGCTGATTCATTGGATCTTTGTTGATATATATTTGCCACTAGTACGGATGTTTCAACCATGTATGATGTGGTGATGTTATTTACTGGATTGTGACAATCGTTGGAATCTATGATACACATTTTGTCCTGATGATGACTCGTCATCTGGACGAACTTGTTTTTCTTTAGTGAATGATGGTGTTTCCATTGAGATATGAACCTAGTATCCATTGTTTGAAACACCGAAGTGTTATCTGCTAGGTGAAATAAACAGCCAGGATTCCACTGCTAGATTGTATATGGATTTTATTTCGACATAATTAAAGTAGAAAGCATTAGTGCACTTGTTATTGTGAATAAATAACTTTAATAAAATTGATTACCTACAGTTTTGTCAGGGGCTATACCTGGTCTTACGTTATTGTACTGAACCTGTAGATTTGGATATGCGTAAGTGGAGATGACGGGAATTCACAGTATTAGAACTTATGATTTTTTCGAGTTAAGTGAAGCGAGTTATTTGACGGTGTGACACCAGAAACACTATTATATCTACTGATTAGTCCGTAATCAACAAACTGCACCTTCAATCGATTAAATTTCACTCACATGTAACCAGTGATCTAGGCACCTTTAAATAATAATAATAATTGCATTCCTACTTTGTATTCCTATAAAAATACGCCTATCACTCAAACCGACGTTCGTTATTTTATTATTTCTTAAACTAAAGGACACGTTATTGTATTGAAAAACAGAAACTGGGGCTCACTAAAAAAAATCCACTAATTTACAAACGTCTCCTAAAGCAAATATGCTGCAGTAAAGTTATACTTATGGTCACTCTGAACGTAGCAATTTATTTTGCTGTGTGATAGAATCACTTTTTTGTTCAAATAAATGGAAAAACAACCACATTTAATTTGGTATGATCTGATGGTCTGGCAAAAAAAAATTTGCTAACTAATAAGTAAATATCCATTATTACTTTTGTAAGCCTAAGAACTTATTGTCTTTATCGAAGAATCTTATCAGAAGAAAACTGTTATGAAGTCTGATCACAAACTGACTTCAATTACAGCGAGCCATCAAAAAGTGGAGGTTACCGGAGGGCTGTTTTGGCCTTTTTCGGGACTCTTCAGTACTACATATCTATGAAGCTACTAGAAATCGAACCATCTAAGTGGCTGAGTTTTCAGTGAACTAGTCGCGTAACCTGGAAGCTTTGACTTCGACCCCCTGTCGAGTCATGGATGAGTACATTTGAAGAGATGCAAGCACGGACGAAACAGCCATCCAGGACTGCTTGTAATAAAAGCTTGATATTGACAGAAAATCGCTACTATCAGTTTCAGAAAAATTCAGCTAAGATAAGCCTTTGAAAATCATCATATTCTACACATAAGATTGGGAATTATAAATTTGTTATACTAGCATTTGAATATTCCAAGAACATTTGCCTCCTGTGTTGAAATACTGATAGCTGAAATAAAAATAACTGTAGCAAAAATCAAAACCAATCACTAGGTGTAAAATTTCACTAAAATATCAATATTATTAAATGCTGATGGTAGACATAAACCTCTGCGCACAGTTTAGAGTAAATTTGTAACAAATGATTGCCTTCTCATTCATCATTCACGCTAAAATGAACATAATGTTACTTATTATCTTGCGTTTATCAGAAGACTGGGCAAGCACAATAGACAAACCTAGTGTTTTTTTCAATGCTACATTTGAAACAAAAGGGCAAGAAGTAACATTTTGATTAGAAATAATCTGTTATTCTACAGTTTAGTCTACACATTGTTCTAGGCTCCTAAATACAACCTACTACATACAATTGTGGTACGTTAAAAATGGCATTTATGAATATTGATTCCAGCTATTTCATAAATATGTAACTGTCTCCTTTTGCTTTTATTTGACTTCTGATTGTAACTGCGATATCAAAAGATGGGAACGTGACTTCATTCATTGTACTTAATTAGCATTGCTTTGAGGATCTTTTAATATAATCCAACTACGATCATTTTAAACGCTTCGATGCATAAAGTGGACTAAAATATTCACAGGCACAATTCACAAACTTAAAGGTCTGAAGTATCAAGAGGTGAACAAATGTATTTTGGGATTTCTTTGTGTTCCATTCAGAATATAAGACTTCAAGCTTGAGCTTTGCAATTGCAGTAGCACTAGTGTTCTATTTAACGAAGTAGAGTTGCTAATCTTATGACATACTCTTCCTCTTCACCACGCTTACTACCGTCTAGGCAAGGATAAGCGGCGCACTGGACAGGGATTGAACTCCGTTTCATGGGCGTAATTGGCGAGTATTTTATCACTGAACCACCGATGAGCAACCTCACTGATAAAACGAGTAACTTCATCTAAAAATGAATATTAAGATGGTCAAGGTTACTTCGGTTAATATATAAAAGATTAGATGTTTGCAAAAGTGTCCACAACAGTCTATAGCGACACAGTTCAAGATTGTGCATCAGACTTCTGCATACAGACATGTAGCAGCGAAGCTTCCTACTAAATCTCAATCACCGTTCTGCATTCCATTAGTTAAAAAGAAGTTACGACTAACTTGAAATGTTGTCTTACAGAGGAAAAAATAAGTTTCACCAAACATCCACTTGATCCTAGGTAGTGTCAAGTTTTAAGCAACCATTCCAACGTTCTCTCAAATTACTAAAATTTGTTTTTATTTGATATATTCAAATCGCTGGCAAAAATACCAAATACAAAGTGATTTAACAATTCAAACAGAAAAAAACACCCACTGGAAATTCGAAGTTTACTTAGGAAACTGCTGATTTAATTGGAAATTTGTGAAAAATATTGTTCACTCAGTCTTTTTATTTTGTTGTATAAATCTGCATCGAATCAAATCAAGCCTCCAGAGCTAAAAATAAATAAAATCGCCTAAAAAGCCTAAAACTGTGAAAATTAAATATTGACATTGTTTCTCAAACTCTTTTCTTTTTCATTTGTCTCATAATATGTTTGTAATCAAAATATCATTCCTCATTATATTTTTACATTCAAGTGTGTACACCACTATGTCAGTACAGAGATGAATGCTGGCTGTTTTCTAATTTGCTAAATTGTTATTCCTTGTATTTATGTATTTGTGTTACTGTAAGCTTGAATCTCTTTAAATGCTAATCTCCAAAAGCTATCGAATTTCGCGAAACACTATGGAGTATATGACTCCATACTGAAAAAAATGTGTCTTAGTTTCTTTCCCTAATCTAGATAGATATTCATCAAATGTGTCTAACAAACAAATATTTATCTGTGTTTATATTTCAGAAAAAATTAATCAAAAAAAAAATTAAGTGATTTTCAGGGAAAATCAGTCACTCATTAAATTTCAGACGAGAGAGAAAGAGAGTGCTTTGCATCCTCTTTCATAATCTTAAGAAAACACTTTCCTACCCGTATAGCAGCTAAATGATTGAATTAATATATGGATATATTTTGCGTAACGAAGACTGTTCACGTAAATTCTATGAGTTATATAGGGCACTGAAAGAAAGCAATAATTAAGCCGTTTTACGCTGGAAAGTTAAAGTGTCGTGTGGTAGGAGGTTTCGTAATGGGATTTCTTACTGAGAATCTTTCCAAACCTATACTTTACGTTTCTTTTGTGTAAAAATGTTCCATTACGTTTCAAAATCATGGCTAATTATCCTCAGCATTAGCTGATCCTTCTACCAAAGACTTTGGTCTAGTTTATCAAGGCTTTTTACTTTGCCTTCTACATTACAATCTTACACGTGAAGTTTCGGAGATAAGCCGACGAACAATTTAGTCAATCTTAAATTACGTCGATAGATATAAGATCATATTTAGCACTCATTTTATATGAAAGCAGTATAAGACTAGTCAAGAATGCCTGTTCTCAAACCCTGAAATAACACTTTTAACTTGTTAAATAAACGTGACTTGTGCGCCTAATGGAGTCCTCCAAAGCAGAGCATTTTGTGAACAAAACCAGAAAAACAACTCCATCGGGGTCATATGGTATCAGTTTATTTCATCCTTTCTAGTTAATCACTTATAGCATAAAACACTGCTGATGTCAAATTATTCCCAAGTTTTATTGAATCGGAAATATTGTTAATACCGGACATCTCGTAGAGATTTCTAAGTCCTTCAAAATATTAAATAGACAAAGGACAGCAAATTCACTACGATTTGCTGAAGCAATCGCAATCAAACGATTTAAACCAGACTTATGCATACAGAAAGAGAGTGTGATTAACCTCTCACTCCCTTGGTAACTGAATTTTGATTTTGATTAGTCATCTAATTCAGTGATCTCAACTCACTGAACAAATCTTAATCTCATAAACTGTAACCGCCTTTGTTTTTTGGAGTTGCTATGTAAACCTACAAGCTAACACTGTTCTGTTAATCGATTTTTTCTATTTTCTGTCTTACTCCTCCCCCTTTTTTAAACTTTAAAAGCGTATAAATTGATGATGAAAACTTAAACTAAAAACATTGTAATGCTTTCATTTAGATGCGTCAGTTTTATAGTATCTCTTCTCTACCACCACTCAAACATTAAAGTATGCTATTATCATCTATATAACCATTGTGATTCCAGGTGGTCTGCAGCTGATGAGAACCTGTGAAATAGAATGATATCATTTTATACTGCAAATTTCGTCTTCCTTTCTTTATCGGAAATAAAACACCCCACTAACTTTGAGTATCTGAACACATAAAAAAGTGTGTAAATTTTACGGGTTTTAGAGACATTTCTGAAACATTTAGAAAACCAAAAGGATAATCTAGAGATAGATATGGAATTTTGACATCAGTTTTGAGTGAAAACTCAAATCTTATGGGAAATTATGTAAAATAATAATGGCAACTTTCACTTACTC